TCCACATCACCCACAGAGTACCGACTAATTGCCCGGCTCTCAAGCGTAGTTGGCTAAACCAGACTGCACGGTGACCGGGTGACGAACTCCTTGTGGTCCGGGTTCAAGCCCGGGGGTAGGCAGAAAAGCCACATTTCTCCCAGATTTACGGTATTTATTTGATTGTGTGAAGCATGAAGAAATAATCAAACTGTTAGAAAACTTAAACATTGATGGGAAAGATCTACGAATAATAAAGAATATATATTGGCAGCAAACAGCAGCTATAAGAATTAACGACTGTTTATGTACATTTTAAAGCATAAAGAGGGGCGTACGTGTGTACAGTCACCTGATTTATTTTCACTATACGGTTAATATATAATGAGATCTTTAATTGATATGCCTGGAATTGTGGTTGGTGGGCACAATATAAACAATTTACAGTCGTGATAGCAACAAGTCAGAAAGAACTGCAGGAAATGATAGACAATGTGCTGGTGGAAAGTGGAAGAATGGGCCTCAGTTTGAATAATGGGAAGACAGAAGTAATGCTGGTATTGAAGAAAATAAATTATTCCTAAATGTGTAATAAAAGTCAATGGTGTTATTTTAGGACAAGTACATAAATTTAGGTATCTGGTCACATAGGTAACATCAGATGGAAGATGCATTACTGAGATAAGAGACAGAACAGGCCAGGCAAATACAGCATTTATGAAATGAAGAACATTTTATGCAATGTATCTTTGTCATTGAGGGTTGAAAAAAGAATTCTTGCTTGCTACATACATCCAGTTTTAACATATGTCTGTGAATCCTGGGCAATCGGTAGGCAGGCCAAACAATTTCTTGAGGTCTCAGAGATGTGGTTTTACAGAAGAATGCTTAGAATACCCTGGACAGCCCACAAGAACAACCAAGAGGTTTTGAAAGAAGCTGGAGCCCGAAGACAACTTATCACATACACCAGAAGGAGACAGTCATCATTTTTAATTTTTAATTTCAGCCATGTTATGAGAAGAGGGGAAAATGGAACATGTTGGGACCACTGGAAAAATATGTGGAAGGAGAGATAGGGGAAGATAACGAGAAAAGATTCTTGACAGACTTGTTGCATGGCATGGAGGTGTGTCAGCATACGAACTGATACATGCTGCAGCAAATCACAGACTGTGGAGAGGCATGATCGCTCGCGCCAGTCGGCAAGGCACCTGATGATAATGATGCTTTATAATATGCATATTATTACATGAAAATAACACGCTTTATTGATAAAATACAACTGCTGGGTGAAAGATGGATGTTTGGAAGGGCCGAATGTAAGACGGGCCAGCGTGCCTAATTTGTGACCCTTTGAAAATAAAGTTCGTTCGTTCTATCGTTCGTTCGTTCAGACTGACTGGCTGTTTTCCAATCAAGGAGACCAGCTTTAGGTTTGACACCCCTGCAGTTCAGTCACTTCATGGATGCCAATCCAAAAGGGCACATCTTAGATACCCTTTTTAACCTCAACTTCCCCATTAATGTGTATATATATATATGTGTGTGTGTGTATATATATATATATATATATATATATATAATTAGGCCACTCATAACTGTTACATCAAATACCACCCTCTAAATAATTCTTTATGTACTTGAACATATTTCCTCAACTACCGTTTATTTAATACAGGTATAACAAATAGCAAGCCCTTTCCTTGAGCAAACCAACATGCAATCAATAAAAATAATCGATAGAACATCAAACAGCGCGAAGAGAGTATTAAAAGAGCCCTATATTTACGTGCCAACTGTTTGACTGTCTGCGATAAGCCGTCTTCAGAGTGGCCTAGTTGCAGGTCTAGGCTACTGTGAAAATACGTTCACGCTTGTCTGTGTATCTTTTGCCAGCTAATAAATCCTACCATAGGCCTTAACTATTTAATAACGTCGGAGCTTTACTTATAAAAGATAAGGTTAAAAAAAATCCTCCTTGTTTCGTTTTGTGCTAGGCTTGTAATATATACGTATTTGTTTTATGTTACCAATCTTCATCATCAGTGAGCAAGGACAATTACAGAACGTTGCTCTCATGTCAGCACACCTGACAGTCTCCCTTTCTCTAACCAGTTATCCAGTCCCGTGCGTTTTCATAGACAATGTACCTACTTGTCTTGTATCCAGTCTCGCTGAGGTATTTTTCTAGGTGTAAGCAACTCTAAGACTTTGGGGTCATCTACCATCACCACAGAGGCACACAGACACATACAGAAACACACAACCCACGGGCAAACACGCAGACAAACACACGGAGAGACACAGACGCAGAAACACAACTATACAAACAAGGGCAGACACATAAACACGCTCGCGCAATGATGCTCATGCAGACACATACACTCACAGACACAGACACACACACACACACACACACAGACACATACGCAGACATTCATACACACAGGCACACACACATGTACACGCAGATACACACGCAGACACATAGACATACACGCAGACACACATACACACA